TGGGAAAAGTATCGTTCCAAAAGAAAAAAAACACTTTCTTCACTCTTAGTGTCCGCCATTATTGTAGTTGAGCATGCGGTTCATCATTTCATTGTGCGCATGCGCTGACCTTGTTCATTTTGTTGCTGACGGAAAATAACACTAACGATGCTGAATTCATGACTCGCTGCTTTCGCGCGAGTATAAAAAGGCTTTATAGCACTTAACACTATATCCTATATTCAGACTCTCAATAACTTTTTTCTTAGGAAACACTAGAATTTGCATAAGTTAAGATAAGTTAAGGCCGTGTCACACTAGCGTTTTTTCCGTGCAACTTGTGTAGCGAAAAAAAGTAAGTTGTAAGTTGCACGATGCCATGTCACACTAGAAAATTCCCTTGCAGCTTAGCTCGTGCAAGAAAATGCTCAAGTTGCACGCGTAAATTTAAAATGTACGATCACCTCACTTTCTGTTTCGTTTTAATTTTCTTTCAAAATTATCGCTTTCGTCGGCGATCTTTGATGATTATTACAACAAGTGACAGCAGGACAGATTCTCGCTTTCTTATTGGTTCGTGCGCCTAATTGAAAATTTTGGAAGTTGCAAGAGATCATGTCACACACGCGCTTTCCTGAAAAATGTTGAAAAAAGTAGAAGCCAGTTCTACTTTTCTCTCAACAAAMAATGAAATGTTCAAGTTGCACCAGGGGTTGTCACACGTAAAAACGCTCGTGCAACTTACAACATTTTTTTGTTTGGCACAAGTTGCACGAAAAAAACGCTAGTGTGACACGGCCTTTAATAATTTAAGATTGATTTATTCATCCATTATTGACCTTTTTTTGACGTTCAAAAAAAGACATAATACGATACAAAGATCACCTAGCTCAAACTTGCATAAGTGCATTTAATTACCCAATACAGCGCATGCAAGACGCAAACCAACCGATGCTAGGCAGCTGCACAGGAGACCTCGCCTTGTCCGTCATGCACCTGGAACACAACGTATGCAGTTTCCTTTTTTCTTGGTAATTAAAGGCGAAATTACTGATCGAAAAGGCTGCCAATGATTGGAGATCTTCCTTGCAGGCATGTATATGTACAGAAGAAACCTCAGAAGAAACCTTATTCATTAACGGGATTAAAGCAAGGCAAAGTGACTTTAATCCCGTTAATTGAATAACGTTCCTGTCGAGACAGCAATGGCTATGGTTCAACAAGGACAGCGGCATTAAAATCGGCAACAACCGTTTGAATAAAATGGTCATTTCTTCTTATATTCTACAACGTTATACTGAACCAANGCACTCAGCTTTGCTAAAGAGACGGAAACAGTTTTGGACAAAGGCGATTCAAGATAAAGTTCTTTCAGCTCAGCGGAGAGCCTTCTCAACGCAGCAGTCTAGAATGTCAGCCAAGTCAACCGGAAAGTCTCGAAGCTGAATCAAGCAAAAAACCAGTGACATTGGTGAAAGAAAGTCAAGACCATCATCTAAAGGCACGTTCAGGTTTACACCTTAAATCGTACGTGTAAACAACCTTGCGATTGAGTTGCAGCTAAATTTCAAGCATGTTCGAAACTAAGGCGATTGTCGTGCGACAATCGCGCTGCAAAAATTGCAAGCAAAAAATGCAAGTGTAAACGATTTTCGACGTCTGAAGATCATTAAAATCTKGAACGCTGAGTTACTTCTTGAAAACTCCGATCGTGTGTTCTTGCTGTGACGTCAGAGCCTTCTGAGGTACCAGACCTCTCGCGCGCCCGGCCAACTCGTTTGGGCGTGTCCCAAAGGCCGACTTTGAAGCGCTATATCTCATAGAATATTTATCCAATCTAAAAAATATTTTGGATTGTTAACCTACTACATAAAGACAATCAAAATATCCAATAACCCCCGAAGGGTTTATAGGGACTTTAAGAGTTCTTGGTATCGGATGGGATCCTATGGAGGACACAATAGTTTACGCAGTGGTGCAATAGTCCTGAAGTAGTCCTGAGTAAGCCGCTCGGAGAATGATGACTGAATTATGGTCTGCAGCTGGAAGATGGGTTAGCTCGAGAGAGGAAGCTCCATGCAACACTGCTTTTATTGAAGTCAAGACACATGCCTCACTCAACGACTGCAAGCTTGGTTCACCATCATAAATCGTCGCATATAATGAGTCATAGCAAGACTACAAGGTATGGCAAAGAAAAGTCTTTGCTGGAGGAAAGAGTTGCGCACCATCATGCAGSTCAAGATTTGATAGAAGCTGAATGAACTTTGTCGTGAAGGACACACAGAATTCTATCGATCGTGATGTTGAAAAGAAAGAATGGTCGGTACCAAACAGTAAAGTCTGTACTTCTTGACGCAAATGTACGTCTCTGGGTGRTAGGCAGACGGTTGCGGAACTACAATGCTATGTCAGCAGATTCAACCCTCTAAGATGTTACCTACCTGACATCCTGTAACGCGTCTAGTCATTTAGATCATGCACACCTTGAGAGGTCACAGAGGTAAAGATGCAACCTTGGCTTGATTCAGACAGCAAGCTCTGTCAATAAGAACTGCCTACTCTGTAAGTTGCTAGAAGCTACCTTTTCCAAACAAGAGATGGATCCATTGCCTGATGCCCGACTCAAACCTGCTCCAGCTTTCAACGATGTGATGCTTGMTTTATTTGGTCACAGTACGTGGTGAAGTGCAAAAAAAAGTTAATGGCAAAGCCTACGGTGTTATCTTCACTGACCTTACAATGCGAGCAGTCTATATAGAAGCTGTGTATGGACATGATACCACCTCCTTTCGCATGGCTCTTAGCAGATTCACCAGTCTCAGGGGCGGATCCAGCATTTTTGAGGACTAGTTTCAAACTCGAAAAATGTTGTATTGACATATGCTAATTAACTAGACCCTGACAGCATGGTATACTCGTGCCCTAAAGGTGTTGAAAAGTGCTGTCTTATTCAGTACTTTTTCAAAATGAGCTCATTTAAAACTTTTGTTGTGTTTGACCAACCATGTAATATACTGTCTTTCTCAATTTTCAGAAATAGTTCGACCGAGTTGACGCTCTAAAGAGGGTCTGGTTTAGATGTAAAGAATGCTACCAAAGACATGCAGTTCATCTATACTGATAAATCACAAAGCTTGATTTGAAATCAAACTATATTAAGAGAAAACATTTGTGAAAGTAACTCCTTGTTGATTTACTTTTCATGTAATATTCAGCAGCTTTTGAAGGAACTAGATATACAATAATTTTTGACAAATCTTTACAAGCGTAGAATCAAATCGTTCACTCTGATAGTCTTTCGCGTGAAACATAGTAAGAATATTGTAGTAATAACTAAAAAACTACAGTAAATCCCGGGCAGTTATTGCTGTTCTATGATACGATTGTTTAGAGTACTGGTTCGTATGTAGAAGAGCTGTCGATCAGTGTCGATCGTATAACTTGAGATCTCTTCGCCTTTAACAGAAAACTTTCCGCTATCCCAAATACTCAGATGAGTAATAAGCGGCAGAGTCTGACCTCAACAGTCGATAATTCCGAGTTTTGAAGAATATTTGTTCAATTCAAAGTGCGTGCTGTATGACACATCCACGGTCTTCATTTATCTACGAAGTATTGATTTATATCTCGTTAGTTTAAAAGATACAGTAAATCCCGAGCAGTTTTGCTGTTCTATGATACGCTTGTTTACAGCCGAGTTCGTAATGTGATATTTCGTTTAGAGAATATCGGAGTGCGATCGGGGACAAAGGTACACCCGAGTTCGCAATGTGATATGCATTCGGGACGCAAAGGTCAGCCCGAAGACAAAGGTCTCACATAGAAAAAAAAAACAACAAAACTAAACTCGCTGCATTTTCTGACTCGTGACCCGGCCAAGGGCCGGGTCACGAGCAATAAAGCACATGAAAATTTATATTGTAACAGTCTACACTTACATAATAAACTACCAAACAAAAACATCGTCCTAGGGGAACCAAGTATTCTTTTAACTGAGTGCAAATTAATGCAATTCTACTAAACAGCTGACTCATCCAATTATAAATACTACAAGGGTCCACCGGTAGACAACACTAGCTACTTAATTCTCATACTCATTAATCATTCATGAGGTATCCTGCCAATCCCTGATTGTACCACGTGTAGTAAGTGGATACTAGAGGAAGTACTCCTTGTATTCTATCTTATTTCCAGTTACTTCCAACTTGTTTCCAGGTACTTCTATCTTATTAGAAATTATCAATTTAATATAGAATTAATGTAGTGAAAAAAGGTCTTTGATACATGAAACGATCCCGAACTGTCCAGTGTATATGCGCCGTCTTATACTATTGCACCACCGAGTTTCTGTTATATGTATTTTCTTCGCTTTTTTCCCCTCCCGAATAATTAATGAGTATGAGAAGTCGTTCAAAGTCCTGCAATACACCTTTTCAGTTGCTCTTAGACCTCGATAGCAAGTTAATTAAGAATTTGCTAATTGAGACAATTCATATCAATGTGTGCATTGCTCATATTCCTACAAATTCAAAAGAATATTTAACATGTTGTCGAGTCCTAAGAGCAATTGAAAAGGTGTATTGGGACTGGACGGGATTTCAAGACCTTGCTAACGCCTCGGACTGGAACTAATTGGGCGGACTTGAAATCCTGTCCAGTACGAATTGGAGGACTTTAAACATTATTACTTCCAAAACTTTCCAAAACCCGCACGAGCCCTGCATCTAATACACTATAGTCATTATTGGAATTTTTAATTTTAACTGATAAAAGCTTCAAAAAAGAAATATACAAGGTTCGCCAATAGCCGACTTTAGATACACCTACTTGCAGAAACGTTGTCATAGAAAATGGAACATTCGAATTTAGTAAAAAGGAATAAATGAAAACAAGACANGGCTATCAATTTCTAAATATAGTAAGATATAGGATTTTTCCCAATATATAGGAGTTTTATAGGAGCTAGCTTAGCTTTTTACGTAGTATTATTCATTAATACTAAGAAATGACAAATCTGTTTCAAATCGATATAGGATGTATTTTAAACTTTCAGCATCTTCCATTGTTCTTATCAACACCAAATAGCACCATGTGCATGAAGCTACCAGGCAGTGCAATCAACCACAGGAACCCCATATTGAGTAAAATGAGATGCCAACATTCCATACATAAATTAGGTGCTCACGGATCTTTTCAAACGACTTTAATGATAATCCTTGAATATCTAAAATTAGAATTATAACCAGTGCAATTGCAGAGAACTGTTCGATTGAGGCTTACTAAAACTCAGAATKAACTATTTATTGTCAATGAGTGCTCATTGAAAATGTTGACCGAACAGSAATTCAAGCCACAAAACAGTTCAAAATCAGGACTTGAGGACTTGCAAATAAACAGGAAAGCATGGTTTTTCCTACAAAAGTACATGTAACAGTCTTGCACAAGTGAAAACCAGTGAGCAGTAGAATGAAGCAGTGAAAACAGAAAACACCCCCTGCTTTACTGCAAACTCCATCTTTTCATTCATTGCACTTAAAAAAACAGACTTACTGGACAGCTTCTAGGCTCTTAAAAYGATTGTTACTGTACTTAAAGATTATTTACAAAGCTGCAATATTAACCCTCTTGCTTCATCTAGTCCTTCACAGCAACCATCATCCTTCACCTGAATCTTAACAGCYCTAACCTTTGACTCTGAAGGTAGCTTACTGTCAAGTCCCATAGCTGACTGTACTTCACCTAAAGTCTTGGCACCTGACTTATCATTCTTGGTAGTTACAAGAAGCACAGGGATCCCATGAAGTCTATATTCACCCAGTAGACAATGAAGAGCTTTCTTRGCTTCTTCAAATTTAGCAGTGTCAGTGGAATCGACTACATACACTAGAAGATTGGTATCTCCTATGAAGTTTGGCCAGTAGTCCTTCTTAGAGCCACCAAC